GAAATTCTGGAATCTGAGGGTGCAAAAAAATTAAAATATTGAGAAAATCATCTTTAAAGTTGTTCAAATGAAGTTCTTAGCAATGCATATTACTAATCAAACATTAAGTTTTGATATATTTACGGTAGGAAATTTACAAAATATCTTCATGGAACATGATCTTTACTTAATATCCTAATGATTTTTGGCATAAAAGAAAAATTTATAATTTTGACCCATACAGACTTAAGACTGCTTTTGTGCTGCAGGGTCACATATAGTATATTATGTATGTTAACTATAGTAAACCTAACATTTAGTGTAACATATGATATATTTGTGCAGTTGTGGGAGAATCGTGCATTAAAACTGCAGCAGTTACTCGCATGCATTGATATTTTCACTTTTGTAGAGATGTTAGCCAATCATAAGAGCAGCTGCTGACAAACTCTTAAACTGAGTGTTTCTGCTCAGAATGAGGGTTGAAAATCATAGTTTTGCAAATATATGACTGTTTTATTTTACATACATATTCATATATTAAGGCATGTCATGACCCCTTTAAATGATTAGCACTATGACCAATAATGAATATTTCTCAGATAACTCACCCACTGCTCGCTCAATACAGAGGCGTCCTGCTTCCATCCTCACAATATCTCTGCCAGAGTCTGTCTTACACCAGGCTTTAGTTTAGTGTCTCTCCCGCGGGACACAACCAACTGTGGCGGTTCTTTTGGGTCAACAAATAGAACTAGTCTTTTATTGGCTGAAGAAAAGAAAAAGTTCCACAATCAAAGTTTCGTGATGTAACCGCAGGCTGCGAGTAAACAGCTGATGCAAGGAACAAATGAGTAAATCTACTGTAACATCTTGCAAACACACACATTTCTGGCTCTCAGCCACATAGGCTTTACCAGAGAAGAGCCCTCGACTGTCGCATCATGCATTTCATGGATTTAATCTGCACTTTTATCCAAAGTGACTTTGCATTGTTTTTGTATTATATTTACCAATTTTATGTTTAAATAAATAATGCATTCATCCAGAAAACTGAGCATCTAGGTCTCAGAGGCACCTGAATTAGTTTTGATGACACGGAAACATTTCGTTAGAAGAAATAAGCATATACGAAATTATAGAAATTAATACTTTTATTTAACAAGGACATTCATAATGTTACAAAAGATTTCTATTTCAGATAAATGCTGTTCTTAGGAACTTTCTATTCATAAAATGAACCTGAAAAAATTCTACTCAGCTGTTTTCAACAAAATAATAATAATAATAATAATACATGTTTGTTGAGCAGCAAATCAGCATATTAGAATGATTTCTGAAGATCATGTGACACTGAAGACTGGAGTAATGATGCTGAAAATACAGCTGCACATCACAGAAATAAATTACATTTTTAAATATATTAAAATAGAAAACTTTACTGTTTTTGCTGTACTTTTGATCAAATAAATGCAGGCTTGCTGAGCAGAAGAGACTTCTTTAAAAACATTAAAAATCTTACTGTTCAAAAACTTTTGACTGGTAGTGTAGCTGTTAATATTTTATTTGAAATGTGAATCAGTACCATTTTGCCCAATGATTCCGCTCACTCCTAAACTGAACGGAACTATGAACAATCCAAAACAGAACTCATAAAGTGTTTTTCTGTATTATGTTGGTGTCATGGCATCATGTGGCCGCTAGATGTCGCGCAAACGCCACAGACGCGCCTCTGGAACAAATCCAGCAGGAACAAACTGTACCGCATATGAATCACACAATCGATAAACATACGCGCTCTGATCATCTCCTCACATCGACAGATCCGTAGATTTCCAGCACATTCGCTCTTTCAGCCGCGCGCTAAGAAGTCGCGTCTGTTTTTCTCCAAACGTTTTTTTTTCATACGGAACGTTCATTATTGGCTCGTCACATGTTGACGCTTCCCGGTCGCAGCATACGCAATCTTGCCTTCGGTTCTTAAACGCTAAAAGCGCTTCGTGCTCAACCGGAGAAAACGGGAAACCGCAGCCAGAATAAAGCAACGAGAGCGCGAGGAAACCGGAGAGAGAGAGAGAGTGTGTGTCAGAGAGAGAGAGAGAGAGAGAGAGAGAGAGAAGAAAGGAAAGGCAAGGAAAGGCAGCAGCTCCACGCCACTCCTTTGTTTTAGGAAATCGCTTGAATCGCTCGAAGGACTGGAATGATGCATCGCGTTTCTCTCGCGTTTTCCCGCGACGCCTGTTTTTAAAGGCGAACTTGACGACTTTGCGTTTAATTTGGTGGAAAAGCGTTTGAGGTGCGAAACCTTCAGACGCATTAAGCGTTTCCTCCGCGTTCGCCCTCCATGCGTTTAGACTCGTTTTTCTCCACCGTTTTGCGTTCCACGTCGTGGGCTCCTCTCATCTGCCGAAGCGTTCCGAAGCTCCAGGCTCGAGATACTCGCTACTCTTCAAAGGCCTTTAATGCGGCACTCGCGCGACACATTGTAACGGGTTTCCACGCGTCAGATGAGCGTCGGTTCTGATCCATAAAGCGCCGCCGATCCTCTGCCAGAACATCTCGCCTGCGCTGCTCGCTCTTCATACGCAGCGTCTGCGGCCCTCTTCAATGTTAATGTCGACCGACGTCGCATCTGTAATGCTGCCCGTGAGCCACGGGATCATGGAACACGACCGGGATCTGGACGCGGGTTCGGCGGCGGTTCGGGGGATGAAGCGCGGGGACCCGGAGCCGGAGGGCGCCGCGGCGGCGGGGGATTCGGTCGGGGCGGAATGCAAACGAGCGCGGATGGACGGAACCGGAGAGACCGGACAGGTAAGCGTTAAAACCACCATTCAGTGCGTTTGTGTTTATGGAAGAATAGATGCTGTGTGCTTCTCGGATCCGGCCCGTTACATGAGACACAAACAAACAGCGATGACGCTCATACATGGGTTTCTCTCTTTCTCTCTCTCTCTCTCTCTCTCTCTCTCTCTCTCTCTCTCAATGCTGGTATGATCCTCCTGAATCATGGAGGTGATTCTCCAGTGCTGCTCTCATCCGAGGCCTGCAGTCTCTCCATCTCTCCATCCTGCGGTACTTTTCCATCCTCCTCCATGAGCACTTCTGCTCCTCTGTGTATGCAGACAGACGTGATCTCATCTCTCATTTCAGCATTTTATCCTACTCTCCCACTCTC